AAGGCAAACCTTATCCCACAATGCACCATTGGGCTTAGCAACAAACCTTCGGCTTTTCCGGTAGGTATACAAAACGGCGGCTGCCAAACGAAAAGATTGACAGGTAAACATTTTTATTGTTATTGTCTTGACGGAAAATTGTCATATTTTTTCATAATGAGATCAAAACACAGGTCAAAGCACGCCCATGGTAAGAATCCGAGGCGCAGGGCAAATCAGTTGCAGCAGACTTTTTCAAAATGCTGTGTTAAAGTTATGCCAAGTGTTGACAACACGATCCACCATGTGTTAGATTGACAGCTTCGACATCTTAGATGCATCTGAATCACCTGGGGACCACACTGTTGAGGAAAACGTTCACAGACAATGAAGGCAAGATTTCTTTTTCATAGAATGGAGCTTCATGCAGTGACATAAAACTGTCAAAATTTTAAGTTCCTGAAACCAATTGCTCCAGTCCATTTCAAACCCCGAGCTTTGATTCGGCTTGATTCGACATTCACCCTCCAAGACATCAGGATAGGATAAGTTTATAATTATTATTATTATCATTATTATTATTAAGATTGGTTAGAGACTGAATTATTTCAGAGGAAGTTGTTGTTCAGGACTCGGGCAATATAAGCTTCTTGAGGACACGGACTCTGGAAACATTGGAAGCCCACATCTATACACTGTTACCCTGAGTCCCCCACATGCTTGGGGGCTTTAATTATGCTCGTTGCCACAATACAGGAGAGAGAGGCGTATTGAACCACTCAGTCCCTACGAGATCTGGATGGGAAAGAGGGAAAGCGCAAGATCACCATTGTCCCAAACAGAGACATTCAAATGGCAAGAAACTGAGGGACTCATTTCAGTGAATTATCTTGAGATAAATCGCATCTTGATTCAATTATTTAGTAAAATGTCAATGAGATTATATATCATTTTGACAGTCTGGGACAGAACACTGCAGAGTTCAGACAGTGGTATGAAGGACATGCTTGACAGTGTCGCCAAAACTATGAAGACAGCTCCAATGCCATGGAGGTGGAGGCTGCTAAGAGGCTATGGTCACACTCATTAGAAGCATAATGTATGTTATACATGTACACTTTCAGATGGTGACAGCAGAACCCACAAGGCAGTCAACGATCTTCAACCCTGTGGACCAGGCATCAGTATTGACAAGGAAGACTGTATTAACCATGCTCATAAAAGACTGGGCACTGCTCTTCTGAATTTGTCAAGAGTTTAGATTGGGTGGGAGGGGCAGAGGAAAGCTCACTAAAGACAGTCGGGGACAGAACACTGCAGAGTTCAGACAGTGGTATGAAGGACATGCTGGACAGTGTTGCCAAAACTATGAAGACAGCTCCAATGCCATGGAGGTGGAGGCTGCTAAGAGGCTATGGTCACACTCATTAGAGAAACATCATGTATTGGCTTTTATTGATGTTGAATCTTTTCAGTTGGATTATATGGTTTATTTTTTATTATGTTATGTAAATATTGTATTTGGAATGGCATTCAAGTAAGCCATTATTATTATTATTATTATTATTATTAAGATTGGTTAGAGACTGAAATTATTTCATGTGTGAAAATATGTTTGTTTCAGAGGAAGTTGTTGTTCAGGACTCGGGCAATATAAGCTTCTTGAGGACACGGACTCTGGAAACATTGGAAGCCCACATCTATACACTGTTCCCCTGTGTCCCCCCCATATTTGGGGGCTTTAATTATGCTCGTTGCCACAATACAGGAGAGTGAGGAGTATTGAACCACACAGTCCCTACAAGATCTGGAGCGGAAAGAGGGAAAGAGTAGGATAACCACTGGACCAAACAGAGACATTCAGAAACTGAGGGACGCATTTCAGTGAATTATCTTGAAATAAATCGCATCTTGATTCAGTTATTTAGTAAAATGTCAGTGAGATGCCAGTGGAAGTGGAGGCTGTAAAGAGGCTTTGGTCACACTCATTAGAAGCATAACGTACGTTATACATGTATACTTTCAGATGGTGACAGCAGAACCGACAAGGAAGTCAACTACCTTCAACCCTGTGGACCAGACATCAGTATTGACAAGGAAGACTGCATTAACCATGCTCATAAAAGACTGGGCACTGCTTTTCTGAATTTGTCAAAAGAGTTTAGATTGGGTGGGAGGGGCAGAGGAAAGCGCAATGAAGACAAAGCTTTGAAGTTTCAGTATTATTACCGCTTTGCCATCACTAACAATGTTGACACCATGAAGGTACGAGGAATGCCATCTGGGCAAGTTTGTTTCATTGTATGTTTACTGATGATTCTCCCCATCACACTAGATGTTCCCCTGGTCTCTCAAGTTGGTGTTTTTACAATACAGCACTGGCTAATGATATTCAGCTTGGTGCTAACCAAGACAACATCAGACATTTTAGTGATGCAGATATTGCAGAACAGATGGTAACTGTATATAAACGGATGTCTGATGAAAACCAGCTTAAGAGGATGAAAGTCAAGACACAGAATGACAATGAAAGCTTGTATTCTGTGATCAGGTTCCACTGCCTGAAGACTGTCTGCTGACAGGCAGCGGCATCTGCAATAGCTTCCTTCAATGAGGGTACTTGTCACATTACTCAGGCAATGAACAAACTTGCAAGAGAAGCTAATGAACCGACAGCAGCTTCTGTTGAGAGACTTGAAGTGAGATACCTTAAAGTAAGGAAGCAAGGCCAGGCGACATCTAAGGTTGAACATAGCGCAAAGTGGGAGGCCAAAAAAGGGGCAGATTTCGTGTTGAGGCAACTGAAGGCGCGTTGTATGGTGCTGGTGAGTTCTAAATCCTGTTTCTTCCTTGGCTCTTCCAAAATGTGAAGCCCCCACTGGACGATTTTGCCAAACTAATGAAATCAAACTGCAACAATTAATGACAGAAACAACTGCAAAAAGCACATCAAGAAGTACTAAATGGGCCGTGAAAATCTTCCGGCGTAAGATTGTTTACAATTACAGTGATGACAACAAATTAGAGTTATGCCCCTTCCCGTTTACAAAAAAATAAATAAAAATGACCTCAATTCCTTTTTAAAAATTGCAATAAAATTAAAAAATGAGATAAATTACTCTGTTATAATAAGGTTGATTAAATATATATATATACATGAATAATATGCTAAACAAAATTTTAAAAAAACATTACCTATAGATGCGTTCGTAAAATATACTGCAGAAGGTACTGTCAATATTGAATTTTTTATGCCTAAATGTTTACGAATACAAATAAGTCTAATAAACGCTAACACTTTCGGGTCTCAAGATGAATTTCCAAGATGCAAATACTCGATAAAATCCTGGAAATAGACACACACATAGTACTTATCTTCTAAGCAAACAGAGATTTTGTAAGTGTTGATCTGGTGCTGAAGGAGGAACACCACAAACAAACTTATTTCCTTATTTTCCTATTTCCCATAAACATCATTTTGGACCTAGTGAACATAGTTCTCAACAGTTATTGGCCCGATTTGAATGATATTTTGATTAAATATGGGTAAGTGATTACTTTATGCAATAACAGAGAGACTTTATGAATTTTGTTGCTTGTTTTGGTTTTAAATAATAGAGAATGGGTGAAAATCAACGCCCCAAAATGAAATTTAGAGAAAAAAATATAAAATGAGTATTTTTTAACAATTACTTTCTGTTATTGCAACCTGCACCATACAAGCTATGTTGTAAACTTGCAATTATATAAATATCTTTATTAGCTAAAGAGAAAAACTATTTTCTATCTTTTTCAGGCTTGTGGTGGCCATTTTGGATGCAACCAGTGGCAACATCACGTGGAAAAGACTCAATATCAGTTGTCAACATGTATACCGACAAGTTGTAACTCGTACAAACTTATGAATCCTTGTGAAGCATGAAGTCATGTGTCGGGAGTTTCAAGATTTACAGGTCTAGCATCAGATGAAGCTTCAGTCATGGTAGGTGAGAAGAAAAGCAAAACTGAAGCATCACAACCACATCCTTATCATGCCTTACTAACATCCATTGTGTCTGCCACAGCCTGGCAATGTCATGTACAGATTTCAATGAATCCATACCCCACATCAACACTGTAACTAAATCTGTGACAGCTATGGCAGTTCCTTGGGAACTCGCCTAAAAGAATGGCGATGTACCTGAAGCTTCTGTGCCAGATGAAAACAATCAAACTCTTTGATAAAGGAAGAGTCACACTGGAAAGGAAACCAGATGCTGGAGCCTCAAAATGTCTGTCAAGGTCGTTTAACGGGTCCTTGATGCCACTCTCCAAACCTTGGCTAATGAAGTGTAATCCCACTTTCTAAAAGACATTGCATATTCATAGCTTTTAGCTGTAAGTTACATTTATCAGAGGTTTCACAAAGTATGTGATCTAGACTACCAGTTGCCAGGCTTCCATTTTTGCGGGAGCCTCAGTGGCTGAGTGGAACTGATCGCCAACTTTGTGTGCTGGCGATGACATGCGACACTCAGAGTGTGCGGTGTTCAAATCCCAGATGGGCCTCAACCCACCCCCAAAATACTAGAATTTGCAATTTACTAAGAAAGTATAATCCTAAATATAACATTTGTTACACATAACCACTTTCTAAAAGTCATTGTGTATTCAACTAACTTGTTAAATGAATTGAGAAATGTGTTAAAAAGTAAGAAAATCTTGAACTGACAGTCTGTATATGTCCCCATGTAATGTCGTGTCAAGATGAAATAATGGGAGGGACTGGCTGGTGCTGAACGCCCTTCCATTTCCATGTTTGAGTTCCTCTGTTGACAACTGATTTCAGACCATTTCTACAAGTGGTTCTACCTTCACTGTTCTTTTCACCCCAAACTTGGTAAATATTTGCCCACACAGAACTGACAACTTGTCACATATGGGATCAGTTCATAGTGTATAAAAACTGTGTTTAAATGACTCCTTTTCATCTTAATTGGGATATTTTTTATTATTTTCTTACCATGTTTACTCGCTTCACTTATCATTTCATTACTCATAACATGTAGATGTAATAATGTAAAGTACTTCAGCATCCTTACGAAAAGTTGAAAGTATACAGTCAATCACTTCTGTGTCAAGTTGAAGGGACTTCGAGTTATCCGAGGTTCGACTAAACCGAAAATGATAAATAAAGAACGAATACGGAGGGACCAAGCTTTCACTTCAAGACAAACATAATTTCGACACAATGGTGTTTGACTGTATATGTGTACCTAAAGATGATTCATGAACATATTACCAAGATTAGTAAGGCTTCCCAGAATATCTTAATTTACACTTCATATTCATGTGAGCCTTCAAATCTATAATAAGTTATACTCCCACAAAGCCCTACTTATAAAATTGGTTCTGAAAAGTAATAACTTTGCTATGGCATTGTCATCACACATAGCATGTTATGATATAACTGAGGGTGTGCTTCATTACCTCCCTACCATACTTGACTGGCCTTCCATCAGCCTTGTATCAGCGAGGTTTGTCAATAACCCACAATACTACAGCTACCCCAGAATAACATGGAGATACTAAAATTGTAAAAGTTGTGGCACAATATTTGGATTCTCGCCCAAGGAGACACCGTATAACTGTGTCACATTCAAAGTAAAACCCCTTCAGTAACGTCTGACAGACAAGAATCACTGTTTCCTGAAAAAAGTTAACAGATTCATGCTGTTACCTCCCCCTTTCTCGACCTTTGCTTTTTTGGTTTTTTTGCCACGTTTGTCCGGAGAACACTTCCGCTTGGCTTGATTGGACACGGAAGGTTGCGTAACCATTGTTGCATTCTGGGAAGAGTTCTGTAGTTCCAGAGCAAAGTGGTAGTCGGAGTGTTCTGGCATTTCCCAGATGGGGAGAGTTCTGCCACATTTATCACACCGCATCACATCATCGTCATCCAGGGGAGCTACAGCACCCGTCCCCACGTCAGGGGAACCAAAGTTCTCGGATGGTTGAATCACATTATTGTCTTGCCTGTGATGAATCAAGTCTGAGGTCACAGTCAAATCATGATCAGAGCTGTTTCCAACTGTCAGCACTTCACTGCCACCATCAACATCATCAAAATCAGCAGCAGCATCATCATCGTCAATGTCATCATCATCATCATCAGCAGCAGCAGCAGCAGCACCATCATCAACGTCATCATCATCATCACCATCATCGTCATCATCATCAGCACCATCAACATCACAGGAGTCTTCACCAGTCAGCCCAGAACCCTCCTCCAGAGACTCCACTGGGATGTGGTCTTCACTCATCTCAACCTCATTATGAGATCGGCCCTCTGAGGCACAGATTACAATGTCCGTGCTGGACGTTTCCCGCCTATCTGGCACAGACAAGTTGGAATCTCCATCTTCTGTTTCAGACACACTTCCCATGTTCATATGTCTGAATTTTCTTGCGGCAGTTTTGGAAGCAAAAAATCCCTTAGGTTTTATTTTCTCTGTAACATCTGTGTAAGCAAAAGCTTGTTTTATACTGGTATAAGCTTCACTTGTGACAGTGTCACCATCAGAGGTACTTTGAACATGTTCAATATTTGAACTATTCGTCCTACTCGAAGCACCATCCCTTGTTTGAGTTTGGAAGAATGTCTCAATGCTTCCCCGTTTGGGTTTCCTCACAGCCGGACCATGCTGACCGAGTGCACTATTATCTGTGTCCGAGGTATCTGACATCACTGGAGACGGTCTGGGTGCTTGTGACGCTGCTGCAGCAAACAGATCTGAGATGCTGCTGCCTCCACTCCCCTTGTTCTCCGTGAACTTGCTGGCCGACAGGCCCAGCATCAGAATAGCAGGTGCCCTGAAAAAAGAATATTGAACTATGTCATTTTCATTAATTCTTCCAGTTAAAACTGGAAAAAGTTAGTTCAACCAAAAATCACATCAAATACATTTAGGACTAAAGAACATGGACTTTAGTAGCTATATAATCCAATTCGAAGGGAATTTGCTACACTTGAAGAAATAACTTCCCAGATAACAGTTGGAATTCTCAAAATGAGTAAATTAATATTGTAATATAATCCTTATCCTATCTTGCACGATGCATTTCTCCTTCTTTCAATCCTATGTGGAAACATGCTTGAACAAATGTTTCCAGCTTCTTGAAAACAATTCACCCGAACACATTCCAGCATCACCATGGTCACCACCTAAACAAATGGGTCATGCACTCCACACCTCTATCTCTGATGGACAATAGGGGGAGCTAACTTGGCATCTCTTTTAACGCTTTGACAAAGCAATTAATGATGCAAGAGGGATTGAAGCATGCTAAGACAAGAAGAGGAACGATCAACAACATCCACAAGAGGATCTTCAAAACAGTACCGAAGCACATGCCTGAAGCAAAGATGGGCAGGTAAGGTTTGAGATACCATCAAAATGTCCACACCTTGTGGCGACTTCTATGTTGTAGACTGGAGTACCTACAGACAAGGTCTTTCACCCTCCACTGGGAACCCAAATCATAATGACAATAAGCAAAGGAACCGACGAATCCAGAATCTATTCCTTATAAACAAGATACAGAACACTGGCGAACATGGTACAGTATCGTCTATCTGCGTTGTGCCAGGACTAAGGGACGGAACTGGTAAAGGCCCTGAAAGGCAGAGACAGAGATGTCATGTAGATAGTAGGAAGCGAAGACCGTATCTGACTTCCAATATTTATTCCTTGTCAACAAGATACAGAGCACTGGCGAACAGTATCGTCTATCTGTGTTGATGAGCAGTTGTCAGCTGTTGTGCTAGGACCAAGGGACGGAACTGGTAAAGGCCCTGAACGTCGGTGACAGAGATGTCACGTAGATAGTGGGAAGCTGACTTGCCTAAGCAACCCTCCATGATGGAGGACAGGGTGCAATTGTTGTGCAAGACCATGGTTGGTGCAACGGTTCTAGTCTCATGTGCATTGGATGTCATAGGAGGAGGCAATCCAGCAAAGGGTGCATGCTCGAACAGAGCCTAAAGGAGACTTCCACAGTGGCCTCTGTAGAAAGTGGGATGAACAGTCTCTTCTGGACGCACACTCTCGAGGTAGATGCTGAGAGCTGGAACTAGGCATAAGGAGATGTCTTCATGGTTATCTGGGTTGAAGATGGACGCCTGTGATGGGATGGTAAACAAACGCTCTGGCTGTCCTGGAATCTGGTTCTTCACTCTCTAGTCCCAGCAAAGGTCTAGAAAGACCTTTACATTGTGTATTTTCTCAAACTGGACACCGTTAACATCGAGAGCGTGGATCTCACTCTAGCAGCTGTTGCAAGGCCAGAAGGAATTGAGATGACTGGTCAGTCCACTTGTAGCACTGTCTGAATGAGGGCCTGTATCTCAGCAACCGCGGACATCTTACATCTGGTTGTAGTGGCAATAACAGAGTTGATTGCAGCGAGGTAAGTAGCCAAAGTAGAGCTCTTGAGTTTCCAATCCAATCACAAATGGTGTATATACTCGGTGACCTGTTAGTCTGGGATCTGGAAAATGGGAACCCAGTCATCCTGTGGTAGAGGGAAGTGACTTCCTTCGAAGGAGTAAAGGAGACTGTTCTTGGTCCAGAAACCGTGGACCTCGCTGAAGGCCACACCCTCTGCCACAAAAAGAACTTGTTTTGGAAGTAGTTGTGACTTCATCTCCTTGGATTGATGTCAATCCCTTGAAAGCCGATCCTTAGAATGTCGACCCTTGGAGTGTTTCTTCCACAATTGTCGTCTCTTAGAAAATCGAAAACGGTTGATCCCTCAATTGTTGCTCCTTGGAATGTTGATTCTTTAATTATTGATCCTTCAATTGTCAAAGCTTATCTTCACCGGAGGGTTGTGATCGATCTCAACTGTTCCTCATCTCTGTAGGTGAAAGAGAGGTCGAACACCAGGTATTGATCCCTGTCGTGGTCCAGGTGCAGTGGTACTTGAAATGGTTTTGGTGTTGAAAAATACTGAAACCATGCCATCTTCTACTCAAGGTGATTTGATGGTAGACTGAAACACATCTCCAAAGTGAAACATTGTGGCATTATGTGTCAGGTGATCAAACTGCTTAAGTCAGGTCGCAGTGCGTGACCAATTTGTTTGAGAGATGACTATGGTGATGCAAGGGCAAATTGTTTTTAGAAGCCGAAAACTTAGGATGTTCCCACACCAGGACCAAAGAATAAGTAAGAAATGTATAGTCTCAGATAGGATAAGTTTAAAAATTTATCTTTCAACACAAAATAAACAGCCAAGGAATAATTGAATACAAGCACTTCCCAAATGGGAAGCCAGTCAGTTCACCCACCATGCTTTCTGGTGTGGCTTGTATGTGTTCAGTCTCTGTATGAGAGAGAAGGCGTCGTCTGTGAACTTCTTGGCTTCATACTTGATGATGCCACATGACCTGGTGGCCATCACCGATGAGGGGTTTCCGATGTAGGACACGGTAACAGTCAACGTTTTCGCCACACGCTTGTTCTGCAGTCATAAGTCAGTTTATCATACTCAATGCAAGTACACACATTCAGGGCTGGTTCGAGAGTCCATAACATCATCTGTTCAGAGAACTCAAATACATCAAGGAATGAAGGCAGGCAGCCTTTATCGTTAGTGTGGAAAGGTTTTATAACTTTCATCTTTGGGGAGACTTCAATGTGGGATTGTATTAGCTGAAGTAGAAGCGGCCGAGTGAGTGAGTGATCGAGTGAGCGAGCGAGTCAGGTGTTCCTCTCTGGAGTCTACTTACACTGTCTCTGTCCTTCACCAGTCTCTCCTCCACTTCCTTTGCCAGTTCCGACAGCCAAAAGCTAACCTGGGGAAAATAGCAGGATGAACACTGACCACTAGTTGATGAGTGAGTGAGTGAGTGAGTGAATGAGTTGGGTTTAAAGTCACTTTTAACAGTATTCCGGTTATATCGCAGCGTGTCAGCTTAATGTGGGAGGAAAGCCCGAAGTGATGCAGGTCTCAGACGTTTACCACTTCGGTGAAACCCACGAGCACGGGTATGGTGCTGACAAATCTAGAAACATAATCAGTGCCAACCGGGATTCGAACCCACAATCGAAAAGATTTCTGTCATGTCCAAGGGATGAAACTCTGCACAGCAAATTCAGCGCCTTAGAGGACTGTGGACCACCCATGCCCCCTACCAGTTGATGAGAACCAATGTCGTGAGTGTCAAGGAACACATCACAACTAGGATCAAAACAGTATTTCAGTGTTAGAGTTTTGTGTCAGCATTTGTGGGAGGTGAAGGGATTTCATGCTCAAAATTATCGCACCTACATAGTGACATGCAAGCATGTGTGCTGTGTATGCTTGTACTAGTCCGAACAAATGCCAGTTTTATAGTGCTATCCCACTGAGATACCATGCCATGGATACCCACTCAGACACATTGTAATGACTCCAGGCCGACCTGTCCCTGTTTGATCTCTATAACATGCTTAATGCTGGACACCAGGCAAGGTAACAAGTACCATCTTTTAGTATGACGCAGCTATGGGATCGAACCATCAACCTTCCTCACACCCAGCAGACACTCTAGACTAAAGAGTTGGTTTACGTGGAAGGAAATACCACAATAGCACATGTATAGTGCTGATAACCTAGAATCAAAATCAGGTATGAATTTCAGCATCGCTGAGACTTCGTGACCAGCCAGGCCTTCTCCATATAGTGAAAGAGGGAAGTACAACAGCTAATACAGCTTTAGAAACTAACAGTTTAAGTCCACCAGTTCTTATAATGATAACATATACCAAAACCCTTAAATATGGCAAATGTCTACTAGTCCCAATAATACCTTAACTATTGGGCAGTTTGGCCAGGATTCCCGGACAAGTGCCAATTACTAACCCTGTCCTACACAATACCTGCTGTCACATCTCGTCACCGGTGACCCTGACCAGTGCTCACCTTCTCTCTTGTGTCCAAACAGGTTTTCCCTGGGAAGGTTTTACTGCACCCTATGGACTTGGCCAGTTGTCTGGCAGACACCGGCTCGTACTCCAACCCTCGACACATGTCATACAACCAGGCCCTACAACACAGGACAGTCGGACATCAGAATTGTGGTGAACATAGAATCATGTTAACTACCCCTCAGCCTGTCTTGTGCCCTACCCCCCTCCACACCGAGGTGTCAGTCAGTTCCCTACCCTACCCCCTCCACACGGAGGTGTCAGTCAGTCCCCCACCCTACCCCCCTCCACACCATGGTGTCAGTCAGTTCCCCACCCTACCCCCTCCACACGGAGGTGTCAGTCAGTCCCCCACCCTACCCCCTCCACACCGAGGTGTCAGTCAGTCCCCCACCCTACCCCCTCCACACCGAGGTGTCAGTCCCTCAACCTGTCTTGTGCCCCATCTACCCCCTCCACACGGAAGTGTCAGTCCCTCACCCTGTCATGTCCCCGACCTACCCCTCCACACGGAAGTGTCAGTCCCTCACCCTGTCTTGTGCCCCACCCTACCCCCTCCACACGGAGATGTCAGTCCCTCACCCTGTCTTGTGCCCCACCTACCCCCTCCACACGGAGATGTCAGTCCTTCACCGTCCTGTGCCCCACCTACCCCCTCCACACGGAAGTGTCAGTCCCTCACCCTGTCATGTCCCCAACCTACCCCTCCACACGGAAGTGTCAGTCCCTCACCCTGTCTTGTGCCCCACCCTACCCCCTCCACACGGAGATGTCAGTCCCTCACCCTGTCTTGTGCCCCACCTACCCCCTCCACACGGAGATGTCAGTCCCTCACCGTCCTGTGCCCCACCTACCCCCTCCACACAGAAGTGTCAGTCCCTCACCCTGTCATGTCCCCAACCTACCCCTCCACACGGAGGTGTCAGTCCCTCACCCTGTCTTGTGCCCCACCCTACCCCCTCCACACGGAGATGTCAGTCCCTCACCCTGTCTTGTGCCCCACCTACCCCCTCCACACGGAGATGTCAGTCCCTCACCGTCCTGTGCCCCACCTACCCCCTCCACACGGAGATGTCAGTCCCTCACCGTCCTGTGCCCCACCTACCCCCTCCACACAGAAGTGTCAGTCCCTCATCTACCCCTCCACACGGAGATGTCAGTCCCTCACCCTGTCTTGTGCCCCACCTACCCCCTCCACACGGAAGTGTCAGTCCCTCACCCTGTCTTGTCCCCCACCTACCCCCCCACACGGAGATGTCAGTCCCTCACCCTGTCTTGTGCCCCACCCTAAACCCTCCACACGGAGATGTCAGTCCCTCACCCGTCTTGTCCCCGACCTACCCCTACACACAGAGATGTCAGTCCCCTATCCTGTCTTGTCCCCCACCCTAAACTCTCCACACGGAGATGTCAGTCCCCCACCCTGTCTTGTGCCCCACCCTAAACCCTCCACACGGAGATGTCAGTCCCCCACCCTGTCTTGTGCCCCACCCTAAACCCTCCACACGGAGATGTCAGTCCCCCACCCTGTCTTGTGCCCCACCCTAAACCCTCCACACGGAGATGTCAGTCCTTCAGCCTGTCTTGTGCCCCACCCTAAACCCTCCATCCACACCGAGGTGACAGTCACTCCCCAGGGATCAGTCAGCCCCTCACCCTGTCTTGTCCCCCGCGATGTGCTGCAGCTCCCTCTCCGAGAAGCGACACAGGTCCCCCATGTTCTCCACATCCAGCTGCTGCACCAGCGACTCTCCCAGTTTCCCCCCCAGGTGGCGCCTGCAAACAGAGTGAGCGAGCTGTACACCACTTTGAACTGTACTTATATCACACAGTGTCAGCTCAAGGTAGAAGGCAAGCTAAACGATTTCTTATTTTTTCAAACAAGTGGTGACAGATCTTATCAAATAACAAGTGTATTAAACCTCATCTACATAGTCATTGCCTAATATCTCCCGGTGACAGTTAGAGAGCTACAGATTAGCTGCGTATTTGCATACAATACCCCCAAAACTATTCACACCCAATTACTATCAATTAACCTGCGTACAGAAACGCATGCATTAAATGAAAAACTCAATTCTTTGAAAACAACACACATAAATACCCAACAAAGCTTTTTCTGCATGCTTACAACAGAGTTAATTTCTGAAACACAATTACGTGCTAATTTACTTTTCGATTCAAGCCTATGTTTAGAAGTTATATACTGAAATCTCAAAATGCTTATTCATTTTGGGAAAAACCCAAAAGAGTGATGAATAGATGAGTGAAAAAATATAAGTGCTGTGAGTAAGCTTGTAAGTGAGTGAATAAGGCCTTACACTTTCTTCAGGGGCAGAGAACTGAAGAGTCCTTCCACGGAGTTGTGGGGGAGAACTGTCTGCTTGTTGGGCTTGTGAAAGCCACAGGCCAGCTTGGCCAACATCTGCCAAGAAACAATATCTGGCATCAAAATGGTAAAAGGACACAAACTTTCCACGATTTCACTTACAGTAGTTCCCAAGTTATGTAAAGACTGAAAGTGGTCTGCATTCCTTGCAACAACGAACATTTTACCTCTGCAGCATGTCTAGACACATCTAGTTTCCATGGTTACCATCAATGCAAGCTGAACTTTGTGCCTCCTGTGAAAGTGAGTTGACTTTTATGCTGCTTTTCGCAATATTCCAGCAATATAATGGAAGGGGACCCCAGAAATTGACATCACTTATCGTACCCATGTGGGGATTCAAACCTGGGCATTCAAAGTGATGAGTCAACGCTTTAACCACTGGGCTACCCAACCACCCTCTTCCCATGATGTACATCCACTTTGTTATAAGCGATGCAGGCAGAGCACCTGAAGCCTGCCCCTCTCTCCCTCTCTCTCTAACTGTGAGCGTTAGCTATGCTAGCAGAGCACATGATGCCTGTCTCCCCACCCCCCCTCGACACTCACCTAACTGAGCGATGCGAGACACCTCCCACCGTGACACACACACCTTATTATGAGCGATGCAGGCAGAGCACCTGAAGCCTGCCCCTCTCTCTCTAACTGTGAGCGTTAGCTATGCTCCCCACCCTCCTCGACACTCACCTAACTGAACGATGCGAGACACCTCCCACCGTGACACACACACACCTTATTATGAGCGATGCCAGCAGAACATGTAAAGCCAGTCTCCCTGTACACAGCAGCCCTCATCTCCTCTACAATCACAGCGCCAACAGCCAGTCTCTGGTTGGACACCTCCATGTCCCCACCCTCGTACACCATGCCCAGCCAGTCTCGCGTACCCCCTCCTGTATCATCACCTTCAACATCACATCACAGCTTAAAGCTATCATAAACTCAGAACACTAGAAAAGCATCTCCTAATATCAACAACACAGGTCAACATACATAATATTTGTACAATAACAGTTGCATATGAGAATACAGAAAAAAGCATACAGGGAAGAGACAAACAATATGAATGAATATTTAAACTGAAAACATCAAGGACCACATGACAATTCAACAATTGTAACATTGAAAGATGAACGTCTGTCTTAGAAGGATCATTTAGACCAGGGGTCCGGAAACCGTCATATGCGCCGGACATGTCCGATTGGGAATCTCAAATGTCCGTTTTAAAATATTGCTTACCGGACATTTTAAAAAGTATTGTCCGGACATTCTTAAATTTTGACCGGACATGATCAACAGTTAGGACTGAGCAGTTTCTGTCTGCAGTTGCAACACAATGTAGATTAACTACACTGACAAGCTTTGTTTGTTTTGATTGCTGTAAATACATCGTACCTACATGATAGTCCAATCGGTCAATCACTGTAATAAGCAATAAACTGAGCTGACACTGATTAATCGAGGATTAATTACTGAGAACATCTTGTTAATTTGAGTGAAAGGTGTTTACAACTGTACATTAATACCTTGCATCATCGATGTACCTCATTATCCTCACAATGCTACGATACGTAACCTCAGACAAGAAGCGAAAGCGTGACGACAGCCAGTCGACCGATGCAGATCAGTCGAGCGGATCTGCCAAACCCTCAAAGTCTGGACGATCATTTTGTAAGTTGTGGCTAACGACTTTCACTTGGTTGACATACAATGAGGATTTGCAGATTTTATTGTTTTCAGTAGCTAGTCGTATATTGAATCTTGATTGACCGCTATTTTGCTTTCTCGGACGATCGATATCCAATTTTTTTATGGTCAATAAATAAGTACAGATGAAAAAAGTATTCAAATAACTATTGCTATCAACGATATTTTAGTATTTGTGATTAAATTATCTGTCTTGTTTTTAAAAAAATCTTTAGTTTAAAAAAAAAAAATTCCCGTGAGGTCACGTGATAACCAAATATGGGATAATAGTCTCGATCCAAATGTTACAACGCGTACACTTGAGCAGACTCATGAATATAACTCATGAATATTAATTAGACCGTTCACTATGTTAACAGATCGTTATTATAACAGAAACAAACGTATGTTTTCCATGTAAATCTAAAATGATATTATTTGTTATTAATTGTCCAGTGAATTAAACAATTTAAATTGAAACAATTCATAATTCATCATATTATGAATACGTAAACTTGTAATGTGTGTGAAAAGTCGTACTAAAATACGCTATTTGAAGGGGGCGTGGCCTAAATGCAAATGTCCGATTGGGATTTTAAATTTTCCGGACCCCTGATTTAGACGTCAGGAAATATCACCATGATCACAGATGTCCAAGACATTCAAAAACTTAAATAAAAATTAATTTCAATCATGTTGCCATGGTTACCTTGGTTATGCTCCTCGTCAGACAAATGGGATTTAGGTTTCTCCCATCCAGTGATGACAGTATGCTCCAACTGGCTCTCAACCACCTTGGAACCTTCCATCAGCCTCATTCTGACATCTACTTCCTGTGTGAGGTCAACATAGGCTTCGTCTATACTGGCTCTCTCCACACACTGACTGAACTGACTGAACACCTGGATGACCTCAGCTCCTGCCTCCCGATACCTGCAGATATCAACATGATCAATTGGATGTTTAATTCCACGTTTAACTTTTGACAACTTTCCCAGTTTACCAAAACATTTATATTCATTTACACATTACTGAATTGTCTGTAATAAGCAATCTTTTGGACCTCAAGCAATCGTAATCCAAGGAAGTACCGCTACACCTACTTCGAGAGGTCAGCTTTTCCCCGCAACTCTGGCACACGAGCAAACAGGATATCTGGACACAGCTTCTTCGCATCATCACCCATCATGTTCCGCTTCACACCAAATGCACGAGCCTCGTATCCCACGGCAATGATCCTAAACATTTGTATAATCATGAGTGATAATACAGCAATAATGACTGATGAGCCTGGGCTGAGTTGCAGAAGTAAATGAAATCTTCTTAACAATGTTAACTATGAAATCCATAATATAATGAATTTTAGAAGATAAGGAAGACAATATAATCCAAGTTTCCATGAATATATCGCAACATACAATTGGGTTACATACATTCTGAAACAGTTTCTGACTGGTGGCGTAAATGCATATGTACTTAAACATTTACTTTACACAAATATCCTCAACTTGCAAAATTCCATGACAGTAAAGTCTCTTTGGTCCCTCTGCAATCAACAATGCAATTGATCTGGAGTCTGTGTAGTTTCAAAAAAGGAGTTACCAAAACATTAACTTGGTAGTAAAAGACTGAATGGTCTGAAAAGTACATGTAGCATGGAAAGCAGTGTTTGTTGTTTAACGCCACACTCAGCAATATTCCAGCTATATGCCAGCGATCTGTAAATAATCGAGACTGGATCTGACAACCCAGTGATTGACATCATGAGCATCAATCCCGCCAAATGGGAGATAATGACATGCATCAACCAAGTCAGCGACCCTGACCACCCGATCCTGTAAGTTACCTCTTGTGACAAGCAAACTCGCTTTTTACAGCAAGCATGGATTGATGAAGACCTTTTCTAAACTGGATCTTCATGGGTCGCAAAGCAGTGGCTCACGTTTCCATGATTATCATCTTTATACATACTTCATAAATACCTATGATAGAAGAGATTTCTGTTTCTTTTACTACTGCATGGAGTGAGTGAGAAAGTTGGGTTAATTGCTGCTTTGAAGAGTATTCCAATTATTTCATGATGTGTCAACTAATGTAGGAGGTACGCCTGAAGTAATGCATGTCTCAGACGTTTACCACTTTGGTATGGTGCTGACAAACCTGGAAACATAATCAGGGCGAACCAGATTCGAACCCACTACTGCATGGATAACCACAACACTGTTGGTGACATATTCAACAACCCACCCTCCTCCCTTCCATGTCTTGTATTGTACCACGGCACACGGCTTGTTCTTCAGAGCGGGGTTCAGTCTCTGCTCTACTTGTACATAGAAACAGTCCATATCCACCAGAACAATCACACGATCCATCTGTCTGCAGCTTACGAGAGGTCCTGCTGGATTTCAAGTGGTTCAGACAAAAATGGTAATAAAATATGACTATACATATATCATGTACAGTTGTATATGAATATAAAATTTCATATTATGTTGGTTGTTGATCTTGCTTTGACTATTTGGAATTAGAATATATGTATCTATTCTCTGTCAACCTACTTTCAAATTTATTTTGGTCTCATGTACGACAACAAAAAATCTTCATTATGTTTTGACAAAAAAGTGACATATTTTGATCCTTGAGTGAGTTCAGTCCATTTGGCAAACTGGATCTGATTGTTGTGTTTTGATATAAAGTTAGTTGTAATGTTTTGACTGGCAAGTGATAGTTAAGTAACTTTAAGATACTGTTTATTAACAAATTCCCAAAGATGTGTGCACAAATGCTGGTTTGGGTAAAAATCACAAGAAATCTTGGGAATAAAAAAAGTACTACCATTCATTGATCTGGATTACCACCGTGGCACCAAAATGAACTGATCGAAGTTCTACTTACAAAGTATTGCCACGGAAATAGACGGGGCATCACCACGAGAAATGCTTTCATACGACAGACAAACTCGTGAGACTGATACATACATTTTACAAATACCGACTGTTAGGGCTGCCAGTGACATATCTCAACTCACCACACCCAGTCGTACGACAGGCCTGAACTTCAGACACCCTGACACAACCGCGGGAACGTGAAGATGTCAAACTGTGCGTAGTTAATCTCTAATGAGGCCAACATGTGTTGTGCAAAACACTAAACTTAGGTTGAAATATTTTTTATCCGGGATTATCATACTGAATTTGGAATCGACATTGACCAAGTAATTATATATGATCATATCAATCTTACCGTGTGGACAACCTTTCTGAATTTCGCTCCTTTCTGAAACGGAAGTTGACACTGCGCATGCTCCACTTGGACAGCGACGTCTCTCAGAGCAAGGTGCGTGCAGAACGTGCTCACGTGAAGAGGGTTCGAGTCGTTGCAATATTTAATGGTTTGCACCAACTATAAATTTTGCATTTTGTGATTATTTTGATATTTTCTAATCATAGTTTATGTTACGTTTCATATGGAAGAAATGGTACGAACAGGCACTGACCGTTCAAAATGAAATACAACGGCGGATGTCAAAGTTACAAACTCAGTCATGTGAAAGTTTACCAAAAATATGGTCTTTTGCTAAAAGGGAGATTCCCTGACACTTCTGATAAGTGAAATATTTATCTGTAGGATGACTTCTCACCTAATTAAACAAATTACTTGTAAGTATGACCAACATGGATATGTTCCTAACTCTTCAAACAACTTTATCTAATACAAAAGAAACCCATCAAACATTTTTTTTTTTAAACCAGTTGTACGCTCCCAAAATACTCAGTATGTGAAGATGGTTTATTTGATGTAAAAATACAGGGGTGGGTGTAGTGGTCTGAGGATCTGCCACTCTGTTCACAGTTGTGTCCCTTGAAATGCTGCCAGGATCCGCTGGTTGTGAGTTTGATTCTCAGATTGCCCCAAGTTATGATGCTTGGTCTGCCTCCACCAGACCCATTCTGGTTGTAGACATCTCACACCTGCACCCCTCATCAGCATTCCTTCCTCAATCCCCTGAAACATCATACACTGAAACATTGTTGAAAGTGACTTTATGTACCACTGACCACATTGTCAAGTATAGGCAAGCTACACCCACTGCAAGATAACATAACTGAAGATGTTTTGAAGACCGTTCTGTTTTTGCAGTCAAGGTGAGACATTATTTAAATTTTCTTTCTTTAAGGTCTGAATATTTATTTCCCTGATTGCATCTTTGATTTCATGTAACCAGTCATCAGGGTTTTCAGACTTTGGAACTAGGGATGGGACAGGTAACTCGGGTCAGGTGGGTCCAGAGTAGGACCCAGGTACCCACAGGACTACCCTGACACGTGGTTAGTCACATGATATATTGTTTTATGACAAAAACTATCTAGAACTCCATGGTTACACTACAAATCAGAAATGTTGCATTTCTTTCGGGCTATTAAATAAGGATAAAACTTCAATCAACTTCAGTGTATGCATAACTAGATTGTTTATACATGTATCTGAATACATTTTGCCAGGGCTATGATCAAACTACTCCCAATCGGACATTTTGTACCCATCTCTTGATACCCACAGCGGGTACCCGGGTTGGGTTGGGTAATAGGTGGTAGGGTACCTGGGTAGTAAATCTGGACTTTTACAGCCCTGTTTAGAACACTTACTTTTGAACAAGATGAAGTTGGGGATGTGTACCTCAACTTCATTTATAATATGAATATTATATATATTATTTCTTATGTAAACAGGGGGTGGTCGGGTAGCCTAGTGGTTAAAGCGTTCGGTGGTCACGCCGAAGACCCGGGTTCGATTCCCGACATGGGTGCAATGTGTGAAGCCCATTTCTGGTGTCCCCCGCCATGATATTTCTGGAATATTGCTAAAAGCGGCGTAAAACCATACTCACTCACTCTTATGTAAACAAAACCTTTGTGATGGCTTTGAATATATTACCTGGTGCATGACTACCGTTTCCTACACGATCCAAAGAATTATTTGCACCATCTGGTCCAGTTACTTGTACTCTTCCTACAGCAGCTTCGTAATTCTTAGGTGTTTTGGTCTTTATTACTTGGTTAATGGATCCACCAAACTTAAAAATCGGGAAAGAGGTAAACATGGTAAACAAAAATCTATCTGCAAAGCTTCTTATGACTGCTGCACCGGATAATACGCTAAAAATAAAGAAATTCAAATTGGTTCCTTGCGTGGCGCCAAACCTCCCCTGTGGTGTAGTGGATAGAGCTGCCCAGTGAGCAGCAGGTCAGCCGTTCAATCACCTGGCAGTGTCATACTAAAGATGTTAAAAGATGGTGTTACCAGGAATAAGGGGTTAAACAAGGACATACCATGTGTCTGAGTGGGGTGCCCACCCCCATGGTTTAGTGGTAGAGTGTCTGCCTGAAGAGCGGAAGGTCCAGGGTTAGATTCCCAAGAGACATTAAACATTAAAAGATGGTACTTGTTGTTACCTAGCCTGGCACTCGGCATTAAGGGGCTAACACAAGGACTGGTTGGCTCGTGGTCAGTATAATGTGAGTGGAGTATTCATGCTAAAGCTGCGGCATGGTATCTCAGTGGGCCTGCACTATAAACTTGGCATTAGACCGGACTAGTACAAACCACACACACACTCATGAATGCACGTCGCTATATAAGCGCAATAATCTTGAACACAACGTTTAACCCTAGTTCACCCGACTCACCTAAATGTCGTATCCATGTTCATCTGGGTATTTCAGTCGGCTTGTTCTATAAGACATTTGCATTGCTATATACTGATATAAGTGAAATGATCTTGAAGATTAAACTGCATTTCACCTCACCTTGCCTTTGCCCGGATGATGAACACTCAATGACCTGTAAATGTTACCTAAAATACCAGCCACAGCTTTACTGGTACTCCAGTAGTGTATGACATTGTCCCCATGTTATGCCATAACAAAATTAATTCAGATTATTACATTTTCTCAATCACTATATCATTTGTATATCTTTTGAGAATAAAATCGGTAAAAGAACTCATTCAAAAATTAGACCTTAGCATTTTGTTTATCTTTGCCTTATAACAGTGTTTACTGGTAAGTCAGTAAAAAAATGGAATGTATTTTTTTTCCCAGAGAGTGAAAAAGTTTGAGAGCTTAACGTAGTGATAGTTGACTCAATGACATACTCCTTTTATTAATCCCATTCTTTCTCCATGTGATTTATGACATTATAGGCCAATTCTCTAGCATGAGAAGTAATGAGTAGACCATGTGTTACCTAGCTTTGACATGTTTATTTGTTTGTAATTAACTTCTAGCAAACGACTTTTAGAGAATTCTGGTATTGACTTGTCACAACGACCTCTTAATAGTCTTATGAGCAACGTGTGTGTCCACGTGAGCATAGTCATCATCATGGCATGCATGCACAACATGCGTACACCCTCTCCACCTGTAACAAACCAAATACGTTTGCCCAACTTCAGGTGCGCTGCCTACTTGTCTCGAACACGTTCTGCGAGTTGGTTCAACTGATCCTGGATAACCAGCAGTTACAAGAAAGAAAACTAACATTTTGTTTTATGGAAATACAATTCTTCATAAGATTATTAAAGGGATCTACAACCTCAGGCTCTCGTCATTTCTTGAAAATAACTCATTAAACATTATCATGTCCTTTATCAAGGGAGACAACTCTTTCTGGAATATTGCATTCACTTCATCAGTATTAACTATATAATGACATTTGCCTCGCCGTCAGTGTTATATTAAATTGCAGTTTGGAAAGTTTTTATCAGTTATTGTGTTCCATTTTTTTCCTCTATTGAAGTAAGCATTGCACTGATCATGCTGATAAAATTAAATCCTCTATCCTGTATTCGACATTATAAACACCTTAAGCATGTAGAAAATTGACAAAGGAGGATTATTAAAACCATACCTGATGAGTTAAACTTGTTGTCAAAGCTCAAGTGATCGAGAAACAACATAGTTCATTAGCAAATTGACAAGGAGGGTGCACATTAAACAATGTTCAAGTTGAATTTTTGGTGACAGAAATAACTTATCTCAAAATGAAATTTTGTGATAATAGTCTGATAGTAGGTAATTTGATACCCATTGAACATGTTGAAGGTGATAGGCGAAACAGTATCCTAGACCATTGATAATGAATGCACTAAAAACCTGCTGGTTTGCATATTATTTTGTGAGAGTAATAACAGAAAGTTCTGTTTTTGATGATCCGTGGAAATACGTATGGTATGGTTATTGTTTGGGTTTGTGTTTTTCATTATCCATAGAAATATGTCTGGTTCTTAGGTGGGTTTGTGTTTATCATTACCCATAGAAATATGTATGGTTCTTAGGTGGGCTTGTGTTTTTCATTATCCATAGAAATATGTATGGTTCTTAGGTGGGCTTGTGTTTTTCAT